TCAATGTCTAGATACATCAATTTCTTTATTATTACAGAGTTTATCTTGATTTCCTATTTGTATAACTGAGTTAAATACAATCTCAATATATCGTAGAGCAGTAAAATCTATACGTTCGTTCTTCTACACTATAACTGTGCCGCCACTGAAGCGGTTGAACTTGTAAATCAACAATTCAGCATTATGTGCTGAAGTGTTCATTTAGGATTATCAGCTAATTAGTCAATAATCCGATATTACTGTATTCTTAAGAATCTCACACAAGATGATGTATACTAATTAATGAATAATCAATTATTATAATATTTGTTTTGATGTGTCTCACGACACCTACGATGATAAGCTAGTTAATCAACAATTAATTATATTATGTTTGACGTGTGTCATTCAGAAACATCAACTAATTAATAAACAATCCAATACATAATGTTTCCGATGTGTCTTACCGAAGATGTTAAAGTCATCCATATATTCAGTTCACTTCGTCACCATACGTGATATTAAACTCTACAAAATCATACGAATACTCCTCATTCAATTATATATCAACATCCAATACAAAGTTGGTTTATCTCAGCTATAACAGTTCAAGGACGTGATCACTAACAGAGTAGAGAATCAATATTTGTAGCAAAGTCAGTTCATTCTACATGAAATCTATTGGTTTAGTTGGTTAATCAAGTGAAGAACAGTCGAAGGCAGTAAGGTGGATGTGGATGAAGCGGAAGATCTAAGTTAGGTGTATTTCAAGAAGATTCAAGACAAGCCCAGGTACTCAAACAGAATGAAATGGTGGCTGAAATTGTACAGTTGTGTTTAAATTGCTATTTTCATCAAATGAGTAAAGTTTTCCCTAAATATAAACTACTGTGATCAAGGAAAGTCCAAAGCGAACCTTTATAGATGAAAATGATACTGGAGGACTTAAACCATAATAACTCATTTGTTATCCATTACCATAATTAGAAGAGTTCAGTGAAATCTTTGGTCTTGAGAACGTTAAAAAAAAAGGTTTTTAGAAATATTGGCATCAGTATTTTGGTTCCCTGAATTTTCACTAAGGATTGTTTTATATCTTTGTTTGAAAATATAGACTTAGTACATACATACAAGTCTTGTTAGCTCAGCAAACCGCCAGAGGTTTTTACAGCGTAATTATATGCTAACGAGATCACAATGTGTAAAATTCAGAAGGTTCCGTCTCGAAATTAGAAATGTGTTCAGATACACAAACAAATAAACACAAATTAAGTATAATAAACCTGACTAACTAATATGAAGCTTATGTTCTGAGAAACCACAAATCCTTTATGGACTAAATGTCAAGTACCTGACTTATGGGGTCAAATGTAACAAAGTCTCTAAAGGTACAAAAGGCAGCCTAGGTATATGTATACTTACGTTTCATTTCAACACTCTTGTATCACATTTACGATAGATGTCGTTGATTTATGAACATTGCTTTGTATTTGCATCAACGAACTTCAAACAGTTTTGAAGGATATATGTGATGGCTGAATGTCCGACAAATTATTGACGTTACTTGGTTCATCAACGAATTTAATGCTGAAGATGATGAACTCATATGATGTTTCTATGCTCTTGAAGAAACCTTAATATGAAAAAATCTTAACAATTCGATCGATGTTAAGAGGTTCATGAACTACATAGATATGATGTACAATTTTGGAGACTCATGATGAACTATGTACAACAGCATAACGATACCAATAAACACACAGCCACTTAAATTAAAAAAAAAAAGAAAGAAAGAAATGTGTGGAATTTCTGGAAAAAAAAGAAATAGGTAATGTTTCATATAATTCCATACCAGCTAGAACTCAACTCAGCAAACTCACCTGTTTCTGCTTACAGAGTTTTATCTGTCTCACTAAAGGGCATATGACTTTTTTCTTGGTGTTTACTTCTAAAAAGCCTGTGATCTTTATAATGTTGGAATAGACTTAATTATGTTATTGTGAGGTTTAGAGACAGAACTGCATATTATCTGAAACATGCAGACTAAAACATGGAGGATAAAATGAAGTTTCTATAATCTCTAGTGCTTGTAATTAATATTAACCACTTAAAACAGGCATTGAGGGTTAAAGTCTTGAACTACCAATGGGCCCAATATGGACCCCTATCGGCTTTTTAAACACATTATTCTTAGCTCACCAAATTGTTTGTGGATCCATGACTAATAAAACACAAAAATAAAAATAATATCATTAATATTACAGTTAATCCCACTTATTACTACTGGGATCTCCTGTATATTTTGCAAAGGAAATGAATCATTTCATTAAACTTGTTTTTGGTCAGTTCTTTACACATAGGGCTATAAAGAGGTAGAAACATAAAATTATTCAATATGGTGCAATATGAATCACACAGTAGTGAAGGTAGTATAAAAACAAGTCTGCAGTTTAAGAGTTCAATCATTTCTAAATCGTTAAAGTCAATACACAAAAATCGATAACCTTTATATTTTTTTCAAGGGCAAAACTTTTTTTCTTTTATATTTATGAATTAGACAGCTGGTACTTAAAGACATGTAATAAAGCCTAAAATAAAACTTTTCTAGATGATAAGACCCAGCCTTTATATTATTTTTTTTCTACTACTTCAACAATATATTAATAGAGGTATTCCATCGTTCATCTGGTCCGTTAGGTCTTGCTTCAGATAATGCACTTATTCATCAGAATTATACATGTCAGTAGTATATAAACAAATATGTGTAAACACACACACACACACACACATACATACCTACACACACTGCTATATATTTATATGCTCATTGAGATAACATTATAACAAATAAGTGTGTTTCAACTAAACAACTTTCTTTAGTTTTTACTAAATATTTAACAATTCAAAGAAGTTATGAGTGAAAGGGAAGAGCAATATTTTGAAGAAAAACAAAGGTAAATACGAGATGCCTACTTCTTGACACCTTCAATATTTTCAGTTTAAGTTTAATCGTCAACTAAAATTAGGAGGAATCTGAAATGCCCTGGTGAAAAAAAAAACTATCTTAAATTTATGCCCATTATATCTAAGTTACTAGCATAACCACCAAGCAATTTTAAAAATTCGATAACTAGTATTTTCTTTCTTAAGAAGTGAAGAGAAAGACATATATAAATATTGGTAATAAAATTATAAGCTACTTTATTTTAAATTCTAATATACTCTCTTAACAGCAAGCAGCAGAACAAAAAAATACAAAAAATTTTCATGATGAAAAAAAAACTATGCAAAAATTCTGTCGTACATTTCGAAAAAAAAAGAGCCGTTCTTCCGACACAAGGTGCAAGCATGTTCTGTCGGCCTCGCGCGTTGAAACATTCTTTCAGCGTGCACGAGAGAGAGCGAGGAGGGTGCTATGAACTACAGGCGTTTCTTTGTTCACCTTCCAGAAACGCTTATTTCCGTTTCATGCCTTAACGCGCCATTAAGCCTATCCGTCTATCTCACACTGTACCCTTCGTTAAAAACTAGGGTACAAAGCTCTGCAGGGACATAATTTATCTTAACGCGTCTCCTTCGCACGTTCAGGGAGATTTTCTGAACAGAACACCACTGTACAAAGGACATTGCGATCCTTGTGGTCTGCAAGAACTTCAGCTAAATACAGAAGAACTGATATCATGTGCCATTAAAATGTGTATCAACAAAGCCTCCATATTTACGTCATCCGCTGACCCATACGTTCTGAATCCTCACTAGGTGATTTAAACTGAAACTGCGTGTTACGTGGACTGATTAGAGGCTAGATTGACACAAAAAATGCACTAATGATAGAAAACAGGGTCTTTTTACAGAGGAGGGCAACATTTTTTCTATTTTTGTTCTTTCGTGCGTCACTTTACTGATAATGTATGATATAGGTGTTGATGGAAATTTCGCATAATATGTTTTAGTTCTGTGTTGTGTTACTGATACGTTTCTCGAAAGGAGTCAGACCTTGAACTCAAAACTATATACATTGTTCAGTGAGGCCGTTGTCTTTATATATATTCTGCTTAGACCGAAGTGTTATAAATTATACTATGTCACATACACGAATAACATTTCTTCTGCAAGGAACCACACGTATATTTTTTCGTGAAGTGTGAATTCTGGCTTTTGACAGGTTTCAGTTTGTGGCTTATAACTCTTGATGCCAGTTGTTTTGTAGCGCATTTAATAAAATTTTACACTCAGTGTAGGTTTAATATAGGAACCATCGTAAGAAATTATCTACACGATGAAATCTTCAATGTCTCTCTAAATTCTCAATCAGAAACCTATACTTATTTCAAATACTTGAACTTTGAATAACAAGAGAATATGAAGAACTTTTAAATCATTTTGAAACATCTGCATGACTAATGATGTTTAATAATGTCAAACAAGAGTTAAACTAAATTTTAAAAAATGGAAACATATTTTGATATACATGATTACCATATGCTCTTTCTCTGCCATTGAAAACATACAAAATTCTAACACCTAAAAGAAAAATTTTACTCAAAGAATGAAGTATTCAACAAAATTATATTCAATTTTTGATTGATGAAAAATTTAAAAAAGTTGGTGTAATAAATTATTTGTGTTTAATGATCTAATTATATTAAAATCTTCAAAGTAAAGCTCATTCTTCAACAGATCTCAATTGATTAGGCAATAAGGACAGTTTTAAACATTTTTGTGAACTAATGATAAAATAAGAGCAATGTGCAGAGATTACCTTTCTATGAGAAATGTGTCAACTCAGATATTTTAAAAGTCATGGAAAGATTAGTTAAAACACGTTCGTTTTTAGAAGTAAAAACAACAAATGAATAAAAAGAACTTCTCAGAATAGCACATATTGAGTCTTAATCTTTCTCAATTTAGCTTTAGTATAAAATGCTTAACGTTAATGCATTACTTATATAACTTTAAGCATTAGAATCGATTCTGAAAACCCAGCAAGTTTTCTTTCCGAAAATTAACTATCTACTTACTTCCATAGCAAAAAGGAAACAACCAAGATGGCGACAAGTACCACAGAACAGCAGACAGCAATTACAGGAAGAGATGGAAAAGTTGGATGTGTGTACTCGGCCCCTAGCGGTTGAACATCACAGTACTGTAAGTCAGAGTTTTGGCCCTGACACATCTGTAAGTAAGGGGGAGCAGGAGGCGGGGGGATCATGAATTCAGGGGGAGGAGGCCCTGGACAGTCACAGTTGTCGTATTGCTCATCTTCTTCATTCCAGTATGGATTAAGACCCACGTACATATTATTCTCCGGGTCCATAATTTATCAGGAAAAATGAAATCTGTAAAATTGAAAAGATATCTATCATATTCACCTTTGGTTAACTCATTACGTATGGTAGGAAAGGTACTTACTTAGTTCAGCAATTATGGTAAATTTATTATTCACTTGTGTATAGATAATTCTTTTTTCGGAGCTCAGTACATAATAAACAATAAAATCACGAACTAGAACAATGCTCAAATTAGGGCTCCACTTCCTGCTTTAACCCTTAAATTATTACACAAGAGTGTCAGATCACAAACTTTGCTTTAATACCAGAATATAAAATCATAAAAACACCTTTGCATATGTCGACTTAGAACTATGCCTCTTGAAGATGTTCAAAGTGTAACGTATTCACAGACACGTACATACAGATGAACATCGCTATACATAGATTTCTACAGCAAACTTGAGGCAAACCACTAAGGATTATATTTCCTGACACGTGTATCTTGAGTTGGTTCTTATGTCCACAAAAATACTTACCAAGTATTCAGTAGAGGAGTAGAGGCTATGTACTTCCTGATACGTATACCACCCCGAGTTGGTTTTCATGTTCACAAAGAAAAAACAAGCCTATCAAGTATTAAGTGCTCTGTGCGGAGAGTAGAGGCTATGTGTATCTCGAGTTGGTTCTTATATCCACAGAAAGCACTTATCAAGTATTAAGTTCCATGTCCGTGAAGAAGAGGCTATGTACTTCCTGATACGTATACCACTGAAGGGTATGACGTATCAAGAAGTATATATTAAGCGTGAATACCATCGCTTGACTGAGTAATATTTTTCTACTGATATTTTAGACATTGGATAGAGTTTGAAAAACTAACAGCTAAAAAACTAACTTAAGTTACAACATATATTCAAACATCTTCCAAGCACCTTGAAATGTTGAATGTTAATACATATAATGAAACATGTTCCAACACTTTGGTACAATGTAGGCCACTAGAAGTATTCAAACATCTTCCAAACGCTTTAGAATGTTGTTACCGACAGCATAAACATCTCTTCAGAGACAACGACAAAGAAGGAACGTAAGAATATTTGTAATTTCGATTCATGGTTTATTTGTTTGTTTTTAGAGTAAAGCCACATAGGGCTATCTCCTGTGTCCGCCGCGGGGAATCGAACCCCGGAGTTTAGCGTTGTAAATCCATAGACTTACCGCTGTCTCACCGGGGGACCTCCATTCATGGTTGAAGCTTCAACGTTTTATTCCGGAGTGTTAGAAAAGATGTGTTTGAGTTGTTAGTAACGAAAACTGACACACGGTAAGGACGACGGTCAATATTAATCAAACACGTAGTAAGTTCTGAATCATGAATATTCATGCACATTGGAAGTTATCTTTAATGAGGATTTGACAGTTAACAGTTAATTTCCCAAAACTTTTTATTTTATAATAAAAATATAATGTTCACAACTGAAAAAGTTAAGCAGCACCAACAAAAATATTTTGATAGTGTTCTCATTTGTTTAATTTTGTAAAATGTTTAGTTGGTCATTTAACTCTTAGCTTTGCCTAATTTTTGTAGTGCATATTGGTGTATAGAAGACATTAATACTAGAAATAAACGATCTTATAACACCAAAATGTTGTTTTCTTATTTAATTAGACACTCAAAGTTTCGCTTTACAGCTTCTTCAGGAGCACTCACTAAACCACAAATCGAAACTGACAGTACAAAGCTTCAAAACTTTTTTCCCCTCTGAAGCCATTTCAAAAAGTAAAAAGAAAAATTAATATCAAACAGAATTTTCTTAGCTTAATATGACAACCATCTGAAAAGTGCTTTCAAATTAATAGAACGAACACCTTCCCGTAAATTTTGCGAGAAAATATACACAAATGTGAATTAGTATGCATCTGAACTGTCCATAAATATTGCGTTCAGAACAATGTGGAAGTGATTATAACACATTTCAAGTTATAGGTTGTCTCGCTTTTCTATATAAAGGATCGTTTTTATTTTTGGTCATTAAAAATGTTATGAGAATTATTGTACGATAAAGTTCAAAGGGGTTGGTTAATAATCAACGCCGCAATGTAATGTTCTGTTCGAAATTAATTTTTATTTTTACTTTTGCATAGGCTTCAGAGGGAAAAACCAGTAAAAAATTGCAGCAATACATATATATAATCCGTTGCATGCTGAATAAAGGTAAACTTAACAACAAAAGCAATAATATAAATTGCCAAATAATTAACCAAACACATGTTGGATTGGTAGGACAGCCCCCGACTTATGTACTTAATTTTTGCATACAAGAAAAGCAGTTCAAGCACTTACAAAATAAGATAAATAAACTAATTTATTAAAAATAACAGTGTAAATCTTTTAAAGAAAATAACACACTTCTACACAAGTTTTATAAAATAAGAGCAAAGTTGAATTTGCGTGACTAGTTTCTTTTAAATTGAGAATTTAAAGTATCTTCGTGTTCGTGCATAATGTCAGTGAAACTTTTTTGTATATATATATATAATAATTTTGCGCAAAGCTATACCGGTACTATCTGTGCATAGGAGTTCCTAATTTTCAACCGACAGACTAAAAGGAAAAACTGATCATCCACAGAAACCATCATCAACTCTTGAGCTAATTTTGTCTGACAGTCTATAAGGTTTCATCATCACTCTTTTGGCGCACTCACAGCCCCAAAGTGCGGTAACGGATCACAAACCATGAGCACTCGGATTCATAGTCCGGGCACGCAAACATTAGCCCACGCTCTGACCCGGCACTAAAAGAAGCTAACATAGCCGAATGCCGAGAAGCCACCGAAGACGTAATCTAATATAGGTAAACGTCTAAAGAAATACATTTCCATGATTTCTGAAATGATTTCACTTAAAGTTAATCATAATATTTATATACGAGATTATTTATAGGCTTCTGTGCGATGAAAAATAACACCGACACCAATTTAACGGCAGTCTATCACTAGTAAGTAATTTCTATTATATTCTTTCTTTAATGCTCGTTTCAAGAACAGTATTGACAAAACGTTTAACATACGTAATATTTTTAAGCTTATTATTTTTTATTAAATATATTTTATTATGAGGATTATGTTGCATTGTTAGCTTAATATATGGACAAATCTAATTATTCTAATGTGGTCGAAACTTTGAGAGATATTATTGGGGCTACGGTCGAATATATCGCTAACAGCTAGGGTACCCAATTGGTGAATTATTACAGTCTAATTATTATAAATTTATTGTTTTATAACACTGCATGCTCCTAACTATATGCAGGTTTTGTAAGTTAGCTACCGAGTAAATTTTAGTTACGACCTTTGTAGGTAGTTTACTTTGATCAGAAATTATTGATAACCTAGATAATAATACCTGGATAACTTCTCATTGAAATTATCGAATTAAATCTCAGATGTGTTAACCAACACATCACGTGTGTTAATGTATGTCACTGGCCTTAGTTTATCAAAATATATCAATAGCGTATATGCTAAGCACAAAAACATATTCTACCAATAGAACCAAATACCTCAATTTATAAAAGAGAAAAGATTAAATCAACCGTAACTATGAATACAAACTATGTCCATTGTTGTGCAAAGTTATTGAAAATACAAGTCAAAAAAGTCATAAACTAATAAAATACGTATTTGTAAGAGGCTAGTAAAGAAGTCTGTCTTAAGTATCACATTTTTATTTAACAAAATAGTTTGAATTTAGATTAAGAGATTTTTTACATGTGTCCTCATGTCGAAAATATTACAAGGTGGAAATGTATATACCTACATTACCATAAGCTGCAATTATATAGAATCAGCATACCTTCGTCAATAGTTTCAAAGACAGTTTTGTTAGTTTTTAGTTTTCAACGGATTTAACTAGTCTGCTGTTGTTATAATACTGCTTAACGGCAAACAAAAGGGTTCTTAAACACTCACGCTATTCGTATCGCTGTTTATAGAGATGATAAACATCTCTATAAACTTTTGACACTTATTATCGAGTTTCAGACAAACTTTAAAACATAGTTTTCAAAACCCACACGTTACTACTTTGTCGCGTTGTTCAGTTTTTCTAAACATTTAATTGGTTCTTGCAGCTCTATGACTGTACATTTTAGTTTCTGTAGAATCGGTTCCAAAATAGCTTCACGAAAACTGTTGAGTACAAACCGCTCGCTACAACAGTTGCAGCCTCTAAGTGATTGATAGCACTTCAGCTCAGCAGAAGGGGTTGCCACACCCAAAGCATGTCGTTGTAGATTAGAAGACAGGTACAGTTTGAAAGGTTATTGGCTTGCACCTTGTTAAGGGTCTTTCCTGTTTCTATTCAGGGTCTTGGTCAATCATTATTGAATACAATGTAATTACAGGATACACTGGAACTTTTTTGTTTTACATTTCGTCACCATCTGCACGTTACTGTCTTAGAAGTACTTCTTGGTTAATGTTATTTAAGCCTGGGTGGTCTGGTCACTTGCATTTTAATGACAATAGGAGTAATTGCAACATAACTAATTTAGCTTTATATTCGGAGACAAACGAAATGGGGGGGGGGGGACATACTACTGTTTTAGATTCGGAGACAAACAAAGTGGGGATACATACTACTTTTTTAGATTCGAAGACAAACGAAATGAGGGACATATAACTTTTCTTATACCTTCATGCAGTATCTTCCTTTAAACTATCTCCTTTTCGGTTTAGGGAGGAAGGCAAGAGAGACAAGTGTTTTCGGTTGAGGGAAGAAGTGTTTCAATTTCCATTTTCATGCGTTTAAACAGATTTCAAACAGTAAAAAATACACGTCAGAGTAAACAATTATTCTATTTTACGTTGAACAGAAGCAGATGAGCCTTTTATCGTTACTGTTTCTTTCCTGTTTTATGGGTTACTTTGTAGCTCAAGCTCCAATTCACAGTTAATTATTTTTAGACAACATTCAGTTGATACATCAGATCTTACATTGAAACCTTTAACAGCAATTACATTTTGTAGCTTTCTTTAAATGTGGGTTCATTTTACTAATTT